TGTGTCGTTGATGACCTCACCTTCATCTACCCCTGCTGGTCCATTATTCTCATCCACACGTCGAGCAATTTGCCCTGTTTTACATCCTGGTCCCCTGTCAGTGTTGAGATCGGTACAACGGGCTACGCGCTTTGCTTACCTTTCAAGTGGCGTCAATCCAAGGATGCGCATGCCATTAGCCAACGTACTTCGTGCTGCATCGTATAAAGCCATACGGGACTTCATTAGCTCTCGTTCGCTGCCAACAACCTGCAGGTGGTCGTAACTGCTGCTGATAACATGTGTCATCTTGAAGAGATATGTGAGAACTGTTGTTGGTTCCAATGTCTTGAGCGTGTTTTGTAAAACATCTGGCCATTGTGATAGCATTCGCACGATATTGACAGCATGGTCCTCCTTCAGAAGAGACAAGTTGGCGCTGTCCAAGTCCTCATCCGTGAGGTTTGCACGGCGCTTGATTGAACACAATCGGGCATGTGCATACTGGAGATAAGGACCAGTGTCACCTTCAAAGGACGTCATGGCCTCCATATTAAAAGTATAATTGTTGATTCTAGATGTGAGATTAGCAATTTGAGACGACTAGGCGCCTAAAGCCATCACCACTCACCTTTTGCCACTCATATCCTGAACCATTACACTGCTGATGCCGAGCGTGTCGGCTGTAGCATCTGGGTTCTCAACTTGAGCATACTTTTCCTCATTTTTCTTCATAGTCTCGTGCATGTGATCCGCACAGTCCTTAAGGATATCATCTAGGCTATTTCAATGCTCGTCAGCAACACTCCCGGTAGAAAATATACAGTACCGTGGAGATGTATGAAGCCTACAATTTAACGGTTCCCTTTCGGGTGCTCATGCCAAGGACTAGTCCAAAATTGATGTGCTGGCACTTCTTGGCAATGTCCTTGTACCCAAGAAGCTCGATGATCTGGAAAAGCTGCTTGAGGTGGAGATCCTGCTGGCTAGCAACCACGTAGATCATGTGGTCAAAGTTGTACTTCTCATACTGTAGGAAAAGGGTTATCAGCCAATACATGCTCACATGCCAACCAGTGCAGCAGTGTCTGGGGGCAGCGAACACTTACACGTCCAAGCAGTTCGCAAACATCGCGAGTCAAATAGAGCGCAGTTCCGTCTCGCTTTCTAATATAATAATCAGATTAGCTCTCGCTTCGCCTGACTACTCAATGATGAGTACATACCGGAGAACAGTAGTTCCCAGCCTCTTCCCCTCTTTGCCTGGGAGAAGTTGGGTAAAGTCAACAAGAACGGCCCCTTTGTCTTCTCGAGAAATATTTTTCTCCTTCATCTCGTCGGCCACTTTGGACATTGACTCCTCGGATACCTGACTCTCGCCTATTTTGAGTTTAGTGTCGGCGTTTGTGAGTGCCGATATTTACAACATACCGCTGAACTCATCGAATTGGATGTTGAGTCGAGAGTACGTTTCTACATAATGTCAGAACATGGTACATCTAATGGAGCTCACGGGGATGAATATGGGGTAGGTGAAAATTGAAATGATGCAGAAACAGTCCGACTCCATTTGCAAAGCTTGCCCACTTGCCTTTGTAACGGGCGATGCTGAGATCCCTGAATCGCTGCCACTGAGCGAGAACTGCCTCATCCCTATCGGTCTAGTTGCGTGTTTGTTAGCGGCGCCATAATTTGGCGGTGGCTCGAAGGCTTCATGTATACAGAATGCGCTACGTCTTACCATTCTCCTGAAGTATTGGCGGGCTTGTTCGTCGAGGCTGTTGGCTTCCAAAGCACTGACATCTTTACCCTCTTTCTTCTGTTCTTCGATGGCTTCTTTCTCGGCACTCATCTCTGCGTTGATCTGAACATAGAGTTTGAAGAGGTGGTCGATGGGATTCTTGTTGAGTTCTTCTTCATTCCCATTTCGTTCGTACGATAAGGCCAGCAGACCATATTGCTTTCCCCAGTCTCCAAGGTCTACAAGCTGCAGTTAGCACTAGTTGTATTTCTCTTTATATATCGGCGGCCATGACTGGGCAGCACTGACAATTCATCCTAACGACGTCCCAACCGTTCGCCTCATAGAGATTGGCAATGAAGCTACCAATAATGGTGGATCGAAGATGACCGGCATGGAAGGGCTTCGCAACGTTGGGAGAGCTAAACTCGACAATCTAAACTGGTGTTAATGGTTTGATATGACAGCAATGGAATACAGAACCCTTACTCACAATACGCTTCTTGCCGGAGCTCAGGTCTTTCGGGTCCCGGAGGCCATTGAATCGATTTTTACCTTCGGCTGTCAGTGTTTGATGACTTAATGCCATTTTTGTATAACAAACCAAAATCTGTCCCAGCTTTCCTCACCAATGGAATGATTGACTCAGTAAGAGGTTCTCCTTTGACGAAGAAAGACATGAAGTGCCCGCTGAGCACAGGCTTGTCAAACAGAGGGTCATCCTCTGGGAACTAAGGTAAACCGGATGTTAACGTATATTTCCTTACGAAAACTCTCGCACCGATTTTCTGAGATCAATCGTACCTTTTCGGCCCATTCCTGGGCCAAAACGTCAGCCTTCTTGCCCTTGATTCGGAGTGCAGGAACCGCAACGACGAAGTCGCCCTTGTCAAGGCTTTGTGTCCACATGACAACGGGATAAATTATGGATGTTTCAACACCTGAAATTTTGGACAGGACATCGCTCAGATGTGCCCTATATAGGTCAAGAGGGTTGATCTCAGGATGGGCAGTTGGGTACTTCTGCGCCAGGCCATCAAGAGTCAAACCCTCCACCTTTTGGGCCAGCTGGTTCACGATGTTCGACTGAGTCATAGCAGCTGTTTTGATCCTCCGAGGCGAAAAAATCTGTGGCAACGATATTGATTTACAGTCCCAGCTACTACAGGTAGATATGCCTAGGGCTTTGAGCGTAGTAGTGGGGGTTGCAACTCGGATAGTCGAGAATCGTGGGGTTCGAGGGGTTGTGCCAAAAGAGCGTCGAGCCTGGTATAACGATCGTCGCGGACGAAAAGAAGTGGAAACACTGAAGGGAAGGCCAAGAGATGAAATTGGGCGAGCTGTCATGAAGGCTTCGTCGCGCAAGATGAACTTTTCTTCCCACCTGAAGCAATTGTGACTCAAAATGCACCTTGCCTGGTTCCCCACCACAGGGTCTGGCGGAGCAAAACCGCAGAGTGGCTTGAAAGGCGGGCTTCGAGGCGCGGAGCCAGATTCACAACAGCGCCACGGTAGCCTAGGCGGTAGTGTGGTGTTCACGTGCAGGATCAAAACCTCAAGTGCTAACATGCCTAAGTTCCTGCTAGCGGGTGACGTCTGGAGACGAATTTACCTGGATCGGCAGAGCGGCGATTCATTCTGCTGTTCTAAAGTTGACACACACCAGGCCACAGACAACCCGAGAACCTAAGAAACATGGAAACACTGAAACTACTCTGGGCTTGGTCATCAACAAGCCTTTGTCGACCAGCATTCATCTATTGCACAATGTCTGGCACATGCAACAAGTCTTCCTCGAGTCACCCGCCCACAAGATTGCTTGGGAGGGGTACGGACCACCCGAGCTGCAATTTGCAGTTTGAAGTATACGTGCTCACCATCACACCCTCGTCATGGCTATTCAACTTGCTTGTGCATCAATCTGCGGCCTGGCAGGTCCTATATCCCATTTGAGGCTTCGCACTCCCGGAAGTGACGTTTTCTAGGAGAGTCCGGTCGTACACCACGAAGTACAGAGAACTCGACTGCGTGATATTCCATTCCATTAAGATGGACTGACTCATTTCAACCCCTGTGGGGTGACTGGCTGACGGGTCGGGCAGTCTTTTGGGCAGAAATTAAATGCCTGCCCAACGCCTCTTCTGGGGCCTACTCTGTGCTTGCGCACAAGCAAACTGAGGTCAAGATTGCTCCTTGTACTATACTTGAGTTCTCCGTTGACGTTTAGTACTTAAGTAAGTGGTGAGCCAGGCGGAGGCCCAGAGGCTGGCGTCGCCTTTGCACAACAATCGTACCACCTGTAGGTAAGTAGGTACATATTTACCTACTTACTTAAGTACCTAGGGCATGTCTAAGTAAAGTACCTATAGAGCGGCCCGGTTTCTTTCAAGGACCCAAGGTTTCGAGTGGATTGTAGACAAGTATTAGATATGTACATACGTACGTAAGGTAATACTAAGTCGAGTTCAAGGTGACATGGCCGCACCAGTCTGGCCACTGCATCAGCCTCCAGCTGCCACGACCGGAGCTACTTGGCTTCCACGTTTTCGAGACCTGCATGTATGACTCTTACAATCTCCATGCAAGTGACTTTATCAGCTGCCGAATAAAGAATTTCGATTATGGGGAATTGGAGTACGGAGCAAGGAAGGGCCATAAGGAAGGCCCGCGGGTGGTACCGACGATGGCTCGGTTTTCCGGCGATACCAATGACACTCACAAAACTAGAAAAGTTGCACGGAGCCACTACCATCACCATTTCAATCTGTGTCTGTTGTCCAAACGTGTCCGGCATAGAGCTTCAGAGGCCCGTTGCTCGAACTGCTTTCTTAACTTTCTTAATCTTGCTCTTTGGTCATATAAAAAATTATTTGTCTTGTTATCATCGTCGCCTTTTTCTTTCCTTTCCCCTTTCCTTTCTTATTCTCAAGGAAGAGAACGAGGCGAGGTTTATTACACCGTGTCTTGCCTAACGCCTGGCGCAGGGCAAACAAAGCACAACGCCGTCGGCCCCTCCCTTTCCGTGTTAACTGGTCCCTCCCCCTCTCCCCCCTCCCTTCCACCGTCGTCGTCGGGCGACACAAAAAAAATTTCCATCCTCCTGTAACATTGATCTGTCTTCTTCTCTCCACATCTCCTCCTGCCGCGACGCTGAACGCCAGCACACACTTTATCTTCTAACCAACCATCAGCGACACAGCTATCTATCACTTTGGTAGCGCCATCCCGAGCCGTCGTGACGCAGACACACCTTCAAACCCTTATACTGAACCTTGACATCATGCCTGCGAAGAAACAGTGGGGTAAGGAATTCACCACACCCTTCAACGACTTTCCACTTCCTCGCGCACATCCCGTGTATCTACGTGATAGATCCAGATCTACAGATACAGCCCCCATTGTTTATGATGCGGCTCTGTGGAGACTGCATCCGATCCTAGAAAGCATCTCTGCGCCTGTTCCTGTGCCTGGGCTGCATCTAACTGACCGCTCTTTACCCCAGACGAGGAGGAAAGCGACTCCAGCACTCCCCCTTCTTCTCCTCCTGTTACGGCTGCTCGCCGACGCCAGTTTGAGGATGAGGAAGACGATAGCGATGTGAGTGAACCACTTGCTTCATTCCAAAGCCTGTGGCCCTGCCAACACGTTGCTCGAACGAAGCTGATATCATGTTTGTTCAGGTCCTCGAATCTTGGGATGCCGCTGAGGATTCCGAGGTAGAGCGTGAGAAAGAGCGTAAGGCTGCCGAGGCCAAGGCAAAAACTGTCGCTGAAGCTGCCACCAACAAAAAGTCCAAGGCCGAGCGAATCGCCGAACATCAGGCCAACCGCGCTCGTCAACGTGCGGAAGAGGAAGAGGAAAGCGAGGACGACGAGACAGAAGCACAGCGCCGCGAAAGACTACGTCGTACTGAGCAGGAGGCCGATCTGCGTCATGCTGAGGATCTTTTTGGCAGCGTTGGCATCAGTAGCGGCCGCAAGGCTCCGACTATCGCTGCTGCCATTGTTGTCGACGAAAAGGACCCGACCAACACTGTGAATCTTGCTTCTTTACCGCTTTTAAATCCGCAGACGAAGAAGCAGTTTGAACTTATGCGCACCACGCTTGCGCCTATTATCAATGGGAATAGCAAGAAGGCCCACTATGGTCTCTTCCTTGAAGAATTCGTCAAGGACCTAGCCAAGGAGCTATCAAGTGACCAGGTCAAGAAAGTTGCCAGTGCACTGACTCGCCTCAGCAACGAAAAGATGAAGGACGAGAAAGCTTCTGATAAAGGAGGCAAGAAAACGAAGGCTGCCAAAACTAAGACCTCACTTGTTACTACCCGTGCCAATACCACGGATGTGTCAACATATGATGACGATGCGTTCGGAGAGTATGTGCAAACTAGAATTACCATTTTGTATAACTTTCTGACATGTCAACAGTGACGACTTCATGTGAAGAGATCTTTCAAGAATATAACAAAGCAGCTGCTTCAGCCCCCAACCCTTGGCACTACTATGGAGGTCCCATCAACCTGTACAGCAAGAGCATTTACAATCCGCTCATAGCAAACCTTGCGCCGAGCCTGCGCGGAGACAGATGCTATCCGCTTCTAGAGTGTTCGATTCTGTCGAATTCACTTGATGCTCGCATACCCGCCGTTGAAAAACATCACCCAGAAGACACTTTCTTGGCATGCTTTGTGATTCATGGGGCGAATGAGGATGGATTCGGCTTGGGGGAGAAGCAGAGCGGAAACTAGGATTTGATTATCAGGGGGAGCATTAGACGGGGTCATTCGCATTTTGTGGACAAATTAATGCGTTCTTTGTTCCTATTCGATACCTACATTACGGCTCTCTACCTGTTGATAGCTCCGTCAATGGAGATAGCTTCATCTTGTGGAGTATTGTTGGACCGGATACAGTTGAAGGAGGCGTAGTAATTACCTAGACTGAAACAATAGGCTTCAGAAGTCAAAACTCAGTTAAGCCACGCAATATTTGTTGTCCTGTGCCTTGAAGGCCAGCGCGAATGTATTGCAGATAACATTCATTATATGTCTAAAGGGGTCCCAAGTTTAGCGTCCCTGATTCCTCTGCCCGATCCGCATGCAAGAGCTTTATTCTCCCGAAAACGCCGTCGTGAATAAGAAAAAAGATTAAAATAAAATAACCCTGGGACCTAGTTTCAACGCCGTACCCCAATTTCGCTGCACTGTCCAAGTTCTGTGCTGTCGCTGTAGTACAATATTCCCTCCATCAATAGCCCATTCGTGTTTCGCTAAGCTACTGAGAAGGTTGCAAGAGCGAAAAGAAAAGAAATACAAACTCAAAGAGGTATTACAATAGAGTAGAGATGTCGTCAAAGGGGTATTACATCAAACCACATTTCCCGCCATTCCCATAAATAGAGCGTGGACTGCAAGAGACAGTGTCCAGAATCCAACCTTCTTGAATCGACGGACACGGCTCTGTTGATTTTCCACGTCTTTGGCAAAGGCATCATACGTTTCAACTGATGCGTCATTCATTAGCCCGCAGTCGAACACGGTCCAACTTCCATCAAAATCGCTGAGACGTTTGACTATGCGGCAAGATATTGGAATGTAAGTCTTCTTGGCGTTGATGTAGGCCACAATTGGTCGTACAAGTGCCTGGTTGACGTAGGATATATCCCTTGTGAACAGAGGTACTGCGGCCTTCACATCATTCATATGAATACGCATGTCCATAATAATATAGCGGCGATCTTCTTCGCCCGGTTCGCCGCCTTCGTTGTTTTCGGTAGCATCGACATGGCCGGCTTCCGAGAGATGTCCAGACTGAAGCAAGACGGGGCTGTTGTCTGTAGAATTTTGCAACAACCGCTGTTTGTTCATAATGACCGCCTCCTCAAGCTGATCATAGAAATCGGCCATTACTTTCGTGATTCCTTCGTCTGTCTCAGCAGGTAGCATTACGTCAGCCACGATGTCAACATTCCCTTCGTAAATCCATCCGAACGGTCCTTCTACCCCTCGGTTTAGATGGTCAATTTTTAGGCCATCAATCCGAAGTCTGCTAAACTTCTGCCAGGCATTCTGTTCTCCCAATCCCATCATGGCTCCTTGGTCTTGGCGAGACACAATGCCATGGACTTGACGGGGATGGATGGTAAAAAGCGATCCGTCAAACGATCCGGACATATGATTTGCGGATAAAAAGTCGTAGAAAAGCCACTGTTTTCGAAGTCGTGGGAGTTCGCAGGAGTATATGCTAACGGAGAATGGCCGAAAGCCGTCGGGTTGATAAATAGTCAACAACAGATCTTCCAACTTGAATGACTCGATCTCGAAGTCTCCAGGTTGGTGTTCATGTCGGTATGATAGAGGATCTACTTCCTCAATTGGCCACTGTACTGAAGTACGATCCACAACTCCTCTAACCCCATTTACCTCGACATCCTTTAGCAAACCCTTGCCGTTCCACCAATTGAGAAACGACAAAGTGACATTGACGTTGGCAATGGTAACATCAAATTGTGTGTAATTTCCATCATCTTCTGGGTCAGAGTATTCGATAAGGTGCGCCTGTCGGCCAGCAGCTGCCACCGCAGCAGCATCCGAAGAGCCCTTGCTCACAGAAGACTTGACCTGTCCTGGACGGCGAGAGACAAACACATTTCGAAATGCGATCACTCCATTTTTCCATTTGGGAACAATTGCTGACTCAAAGACAACCGTAACGCCAGCAGATTGCGTCAAGTAATCGCCAACCCACTTCGCAAGAGTTTCTAGATATAAGTATTAGCGCTTCCACCAGACGTAGAGAATTGGCAAGCCGCTTACCTTGTGCAAAGACGGTGTTGATGGAGAAGATGAGAAGAGAAAAGAAAGTTGTGGTCCCAACAAGAATCCACACAATGTGCCCCAACATGAACCAAGAGACGAATGCTCCCCATTCATCGGCATTCCATGGGCGCATGCTTCTGATGGACATCCATTTAAATCGAACTTTGAGTCTCTCCCAGAATCCGTTTGCGGCGGCCAGAAGCTCCTCCTTTGCTGGTCGATGTGGTAACGTTGGCAAGTGGAGGTACTTAGATACCGAAGATGCTATCGATTCATTATCACCTTCACTATTCGGTTGCCCTGGGACCTCTTGCTGCTGTTGACTTGACTCGGGCCGCTTCCTCTCCGGCGACGTGGAAGATCCCCTTGCTATCGCGTGTTCTTTTGCAGGCTTTTTTTCATTCGAGTAGCTGCACTGCTGTTGTTGCGGTAGCTTTATCGAGGTTCGCACCAGTCCGCCATGGTGGTAGCTACGAGTTGGCACTTTATAATACGGCTTCAATAGCCCGGTCGAACGGAGAATGCGCTTCGTAGAGCAAGATGACATGAAGTGCGGAATTGTTACTGTTTGAATAGGGCGTACGTGCCACCATGCCGGAGGGTTTAGACATGTTGATGTCGACAGCGGTTGTTGACCTAGTCTCTGAAGGGACAGCCGTCGAAAGAAACCAGCTACAGGAGCTGCGGTGTACTGTGACCAAAGACGGCTTCCCAGCAGCCGCGATGAAAAGGCCTTAGACATGCTTCCGGATCATGGCGCCTATGAGGAATGAATTCAAGGCGTTGGGTGTCAAACTTTGGTTCGATCGCCCTCGCCCAGATTGAATGGGCTACAGGAGGCGGGCTGATACTATGACGAGAAGAACCAATGTTGCTCCAGATGCATAAAAGTCGTTTATGACGCGCCGAGAGAGCTGGGTACGTACCGGAACTGCCGCCAAGGTCTGACCAATAGATACGCCACGATAAGCCACCACAAATTTTTGTGAAGATCCCAGCGATCGCAAAAGTCGGCGGTGGGTAACTTTGCTTTTACGCCGCTAACCAAGTTCTTCATCGTGCTTTCACACCATCCAGACTCACCAAAGAAAAATCCCATCATACGTAAGACTGACGCATTAGAGCACCTTGAGGATATTGAAATACAATATCACTCAGATTATATTCGAGTGCAATCACCATGCCTGCCCCTACAGCCTTAAAAAAGGCTGAGGAGACCCCGCTCCAAGCTGTGGCGGCCTCGTCTCAAACGCAAGGTACTTCGAGTTTCTTTATATTTGATAATGTCATATATTCTCTCGCAGTTAGCTAACTATTTTTGACAAGATAACGGGGGCGGGTTTCTGCTCGGGGAGCCAGATGCTATGCCAGTAGATGCAGACGCCGCACCAACAGCAGATGAACAAGAAGATGATTCAATGGCCATCGATGAGGAGGGTCGACCTCGATTTGCTCCATCCAGGGATATTGTAAGAATGCCAATTATAAGATACAGCGGATTTATAATGGGAATTAACTTATCTATCTCTAGGATCCCGTGACAAGAGTTGAAACTCGAAAGATCCCGGTGCCGCCGCATCGAATGACGCCGCTAAAACAAGCATGGCCGTCTATTTACCCTCCTCTAGTTGAACACCTGAAACTACAATGTCGAATGAATATTAAACGCAAGACGGTCGAATTGAGGACTTCGCAGCACACAACCGATTCTGGGGCGCTACAAAAAGGCGAGGACTTTGTGAAGGCTTTCACCCTTGGCTTCGACGTTGACGACGCTGTTGCTTTGCTTAGATTGGATGATCTCTATATCGAAACTTTCGAGATCAAAGACGTCAGGATCATGCACGGTGACAGCCAAGCACGTGCGATTGGCCGCATTGCTGGCAAGGATGGAAAAACTAAATTCGCAATTGAGAACGCCAGCAGAACTCGAATTGTACTGGCCGACTCTAAAATTCACATTCTGGGCGGATTCAAGAATATCCACATGGCACGAGAGTCGGTCGTGAGTTTGATTCTTGGCAAGCCACCAGGCAAGGTGTACGGAAACCTAAGAACCGTTGCTGCAAGGATGAAGGAGAGGTTTTAACGGCCTGGGGATCAAGAGATGATAGCTTTGGTACATAATGGCGTTTGGTTAAGCATGCATTTACAATTGATGATAATCTCAAAGAAAAGATTTGTCACACGGATGATAGCATCGGAGATAAACACGATATGCAATGGGCCAGGCGTAAGTTGCTTGAGTAACAGGCATGACACATATAACAGCTGGCAAATATGTCAACTGTGGCACAAACGTACCTGGAAATTTTGTGAAGATTACCCGTTGGCAACTAAGTGGGCTAGGAAAAAACACTTATTAGTCGCTGATAGGTACATTTGTCACCACGAAGTGTACCATAAGACCCGGCCAGTCAGCTGCGAATGTCTTATTAGTTACCCGTTTGACAAATTTGACAACAGTATCAGGGTGCGGTTCTTCATTGGTTCAAATTGTAGCCGAATAGTAGGATACATTGAACCTCTGCATAATTCCCTGATGTCGCAAGTAAACCCTTATCAGGTACTGGTGAAACGCAGAGTCCTTTTTCCCTGTGCCTCATGCCCGCCCTGCGCACGATGCACTTGTTGTCTTGCCCCTCGCCTTTCAGCCCCCTCTTCTTTTCTAGTTGACTGCATGTGTTGCCCCTCTCTCTCTGGGCTGTTGGATACTGCCCCACCTGCAACTGGGATCCAATTATTACACAAGTTGGCCGCAGCAACCTTCCTGGATCCAGTCGTCCCGCCCGAACACGCAGCTCAAAAACCTCATGTCACACTTAACCTCAACAAATACCCTCCTGCAAAGCTTTCTCCAAGCCATTCGAGAAAACCACTCGAAAATTGCCATTACCCCTCCTGAATTGGTACGTATTCCAACATCTGAGCTTTACTTAGTCTCTCTTTGTTGTCACCCTTATCTCTGCACATCTACGCCACCATTCTACCCCTCCATCCCAGCTGTCATTCGACGATCTAGCCTAAAGCTTGGTCTTTGAGGCATATTCGAACCAGTCCTTAGGCTCGTATTATTCCTTCCAGTTTCCTCTCTGCTATATGGTTTTCTCCCTTTGAGCAAATAAAATGGCAACTTGCTTTTCGGGCTAATTCTATTTCTGTTTCTCGCCCTGTTTTAACAGTTCAGTTGGTAGTATCCATTGTCTTGCCCAAACGTTGCATTGTCAGTCCAGCTCTTGGCTAACATTTCTCCGGGCTCTTTTGCAGAATCATATCAAACTACCTGACCTTTAAAAATGGCCATCACCAAGGTTCACGCGCGGTCCGTATACGACTCTCGTGGTAACCCCACCGTCGAGGTTGACGTCGTTACCGAGACTGGCCTGCACCGAGCTATCGTTCCCTCCGGAGCTTCTACCGGTTCGTCCCGATACTCCTCCATCCCAATACTTGTGCAATGCATAACCGAGAATACAGGTCAGCACGAAGCCTGTGAGCTTCGAGATAATGACAAGTCCAAGTGGGGCGGCAAGGGCGTTAGCAAGGCTGTTGAGAATGTTAACGCGATCATTGGCCCTGCCCTGATCAAGGAAGGCATTGATGTCAAGGACCAGTCGAAGGTCGACTCTTTTCTCAATGACCTTGATGGCACTGACAACAAGACTAAGCTCGGCGCCAATGCCATTCTTGGTGTCAGTCTGGCTATTGCCAAGGCTGGTGCTGCTGAGAAGGTAGGATGACTGCAACTAGGCTGGCCAATTCCAGGTTTCAATTGCTAATTTTGACAAGGGTGTTCCCTTGTACGCTCATATTTCCGATCTGGCCGGAACCAAGAAGCCTTACGTTCTTCCCGTTCCCTTCATGAACGTTCTCAACGGCGGGTAAGTAACTCTAGGATTGTGCATTATTGTTCAGTATTACCGGGAACGGATGGCTAACTAGATTAGCTCTCACGCTGGCGGCCGTCTTGCTTTCCAGGAGTTCATGATTGTCCCCTCGTAAGTCATACCTACATTACCTATATATTTGGGTCTGTCACTAATAAAACTTGTAGTGATGCTCCCACTTTCTCCGAGGCCATGCGCCAGGGTGCTGAGGTATACCAGAAGCTCAAGTCTCTGGCCAAGAAGAAGTATGGCCAGTCCGCAGGCAACGTGGGTGATGAGGGCGGTGTTGCTCCCGATATTCAGACCGCTGATGAGGCCCTTGAGCTCATCACCGACGCCATCGAGCAGGCAGGCTATACTGGCAAGATGAATATTGCCATGGATGTTGCGTCAAGCGAGTTCTACAAGACAGACGCAAAGAAGTATGACCTTGACTTCAAGAACCCTGATAGCGACCCAAAGAAGTGGATCACCTATGAGGAACTCGCTGCCATGTACTCAGATCTCTGCAAGAAGTACCCCATTGTCAGCATTGAGGACCCCTTCGCTGAGGATGATTGGGAGGCTTGGAGCTATTTCTACAAGACCCAGGATATTCAGATTGTCGGTGATGATCTGACTGTCACCAACCCCCTCCGCATCAAGAAGGCTATCGAGCTTAAGGCCTGCAATGCTTTGCTCCTCAAGGTCAACCAGATTGGTACCCTGACTGAGTCTATTCAGGCAGCCAAGGACTCCTACGCTGACGGCTGGGGGGTCATGGTTTCCCATCGATCCGGTGAGACAGAAGATGTCACCATTGCCGACATCGTCGTGGGTATCCGATCTGGCGAGATCAAGACTGGTGCCCCATGCCGCTCTGAGCGTCTGGCTAAACTCAACCAGATTCTCCGAATCGAGGAGGAGCTCGGAGATCAAGCCATCTATGCCGGTGCTAACTTCCGCAAGTCGGTTAACCTCTAAATGCAATGTATCTACCATTGTCGTTGCCAAACTGTGGCAATTGACCAAAAAAGTGGTTTACACACCGTAATGAAGAATGAAATCAAAATGACGAGGTAAAACGCGCGGGAAATAAGATAACAAAAGTCAACGCAAATAGATCAGTAACACAAGGTATTGAGAGCGGAGACAGCAGGCAAATATCATCAAGAAACAAAGTTCTTCAAGTGGTTACAAGCATTACATCATGTTTCCGTGAAACTATCCATCGTGAAAAGGTAACACATAGGTCTAGGTACCAAACATATTAGCACTAGGTTAGTACATACTTGCGGTAGCTAGCAGGTACCTAACGTAGCTAGGCGTCGTCTCAGTCGATGACCTTGTGTGGCGGGTTTGGCCTCAGCAGCCACATTGTGGCTGTTGCCACAGCAACCCTTAGAAGAAACACAACATTACTGGGAATAAAAACAATGTGGCGTAAGCTTTCAGTCACTAACATCTAACATCAGAAGTTGCAGTTCAAAAAGAACTGGCTGCTCCAGTGCATTCTAACTCATAATGGCAGCCTCGAGTAATCTCATTGATTTCGACGTCATCGAAGGACAAAAGGAGAATATACAGTCTTTGCCCGGTGGACGATCGGCAAGGAAGTTAGCAGAGTTGTACTCTCCATCACCTCTGCATAAACTCTCGACACCGACTCCCTCGGATACCAAAAATGTCCACGATTGCATTCGCGCCGAATATGAGGCAGAAATTCAGAATATCTCTGAATCAGATGATCCGCTGGACGTGTTCGACAGGTACGTCAGATGGACACTGGATGCGTACCCAACGGCACAAGCAACTCCACAATCGCAGCTGCACACGCTGCTTGAACGCGCCACAAAGACATTCATCACCTCTGCACAATATAAAAATGACCCTCGCTACCTGAGGCTCTGGGTTCATTACATCCACTTCTTCTCAGACACCCCAAGAGAGACCTACATGTTTCTCTCGCGTCATGGAATAGGAGAAGGGCTGGCCCTCTTTTACGAGGAGTACGCTGCTTGGTTGGAAGCTGCAGGAAGATGGGCACAAGCAGAGGAGGTCTATAAGCTCGGGATCGAGCGTGAAAGTAGGCCTGTTCAGAGATTGATGCGAAAGTTCAAGGAGTTCGAGGAACGAATGGCGCAGCAGCCGGCCGACGCCATTGAGCCGTCGTCGCCAGCCCTTCCTACCGTTCGTCCAGCGCTGGCCGCAAAGGTCGATCCTTTTGGATCTTTGTCGCAGTCCAGCGACCCGCAAGCGTCACGGCCTAGGACCGGTGCCGGCAGCGCCAGTTCAAAGCCAGCCAAATCAAAGCTTGCTATCTTTTCAGATGCGGATGCCAAGCCAGCACCTTTGTCATCTAGGGCAGAAGGGTCCAAGGGATGGGAATCATTTGGGTCATTGTCTGACCGTAAGAAAGAAAATGTCATGGAACCGAAGCCGTGGGTTGGAGAGACGTTGAAAGCCGGTGGAAAGAAGAGTACTGCGCCGAAGATGGCAGTGTTCAGGGACCCGGTAAGTTTCCGAACCGAGTACACCCTTTCCAAGCCCATATATTGATGAGAATAGGACTAATTTATTGGCCGTGGCATGTATTCGTTAATCCAGTCGCTATCTCAAATACACAATGTCGTCCTTATATCGGCCAAAAGCCAAGTGACTGTGCACCCTCAAACAGGAAAGAAAGAATACATATTCGTTGACCTTGCAGCTGTGTACCCAACCCCGGAAGAACCTGGTTCAGAACTGAGTTTTGAGGAAATTATTGCGGCACGTCGTGGTTGGTTGGATCGATCTTGGGGCCATGAGACCGTGGAGGACGACTTTGTCACTGAGCCGATACAATTTCTCAGTGGGTTTGAGGAGATCAGTCGCGGTGTTAGTAACAAACTTGCTATTCACCGAGATCCGATGTTTTTCGATGAAAATGGAGGCATGAAAGAGCATCCTCGAGAGCCTCGTGTTGCAAAAAAGAAAATCATGGAAGTCAACGAGACCCAAATCAGTATGCCAGATATCAAATTTTGCCTTATTAGACTTGGTGGAGCTGACATTTTCTAGTCAAGGCAAAGTTGGAATCCCCCTCAGGTCCCAAATTTCGCAAGAAGCAAACATCTGAGCCGACAATGACGCTCCACACGAAGGCAGCGACTGACGATATATATGACATTTTCAACGCCCCTCTTAAGCTGGCCAACGGAAACGAAAGCGCAGAGGATGAGGATTACGAGACAGATGGCGACTATACCACTGACGGCGAAAGCACAGGCACAACTAGACAACTCGATGCTACCAGTCAACATGGCGACGGCGGGACTGCTGACACAAAGAGTCTAAGTGAGTGGTCGGAATTTTCAGCTCAAAAGCACATCCCAAATGTTGAGACAGTCGATGTGGACGGCACGCTTCCAATACACGGCGATTATGACGGCCATATTGAGGAGGCAGAACCCGGAGAGCAGACCTGTCCAACAACTTGTCCGAATGATGAAGCAATGGTTGCCCCTCCGGATGAGCAGTCTCCTCCGAAAACCCGCACAGTATTCGTTCCCATTCCTCCAGAAGATTATGACCCCCCGACACGGCCGTATAGGGACCCGGCCGAGGTGGCGAATAACCGACTCCCGTTTATGACGCCAATTACGGAGCGGACAGAATGCTCACTTGATGTTGATCTTGAACGTCAAGACACATTCAAAACACCATGTAGACGAGATGGAGTTACCAATGCCATGGGAGAAGACCAGTCAGACGACGAGCCCTTAAGCAGCCCTCTCAGAGAAATTGTGGACGACGAATGTCCTATGCCGAAAATCCCTGCTGCCCTGGTCCCAAAATCCAGATCTATTGTCAAGGGACCCTCTACCAACCCGATTCCCCCAAAAGGTCCCGTCATTAAAGATATCCAATGCAATCCCGTTGACATTTCTATCCGTCAAGAAATTCTAAACAGCCTTCAACCTCCTTTGAGTTCGTATGCCGGGTTCTACGACCGAAGTGGGCAAAAATACGAATTCGGAGCTGATATTCGCAAGTTTACCAAGGCCTTGAACAGATTGAGCAAGGGCGGCGCCGACAAGACGGGACCTCTCCCATCTCCAGTCATGATTAAGTTTCCCAGCACAACCCGAGTATATACCTTGAAACGGGAGCTTGGTGCAGGGGCATTTGCCCCTGTCTATCTAGTCGAAAACTCGGCTCCGCAGGAGAATGAAAATGACGAGAATGCACTGGCCACAATGGGCAAAGGCATGTTTGCTGTTAGTCACCGAAATGACTTGGAGGCACTCAAGATGGAAGTACCACCAACTTCCTGGGAGTTCTACATCATGAGGCTTGCACACTCTCGTTTAGGTCCGCAGCACCGTGCAGCAGCTTCTCTGTCTTATGCACATGAGCTACAGCTATATCAAGACGAAGGATTCCTTTTTCTACCATATCACCCTCATGGAACACTCCTAGACTTGGTTAACTTCTTCAGAGCCGAGCCGTCTGGTTTAATGGATGAGCAATTGGCAATGTTCTTCTCCATTGAGCTCATGCGCACTGTTGAAGCCCTTCACACCAAGAACATCCTACATGGTGATCTCAAGGCCGATAATTGCCTGCTTCGGCTAGATACGATGTCTTCGGAAGAACCTCTGTTAACGCCATGGAAAGCGGACGGCAGTGGCGGCTGGGCATCGAGAGGCATCTTTCTCATTGACTTTGGTCGGGGCATTGACATGAAGGCCTTTTCTTCGAACGTGGAATTTATCGCCGACTGGAAGACTTCATCGCAGGACTGCGCGGAGATGCGCGAAGGACGCCCGTGGACATGGCAAATCGACTACCACGGTCTGGCAGGTATCATTCACTGTCTGCTCTTTGGAAAGTACATTGAAACTCAACGATGCGACCAAGGTGGGCTTGGTCGTACCGGCAGAAAATATAAGATCCGTGAAAGCTTGAAGCGATACTGGCAGGCAGATCTTTGGTCTGAGTGCTTCGAAGTGCTACTTAACCCCGGGTCATTTTTAGAATTTGAAGATGGGTGTAAGATGCCGGTGCTGAAGTCATTAAAAAGCCTGCGAGGAAGAATGGAACAGTGGCTTGAAGCAAACTGTGATCGTGGTGTCGGCTTGCGATCTCTAATTGGCAAGTTGGAAGGATACACAAAAACTCGCAGGTAAAAAGAAACCTTGGAGTGGTTTCGTGGCTGGGGGAGTATCTCATTCAGATTGTTCTGATTCAAGTCAGGAGGAGCCGTCGCTATCTTCATTCACACCATTAGGCTTATAGGGCAGACATTGATTATTTGGCGTTTCCCGTGAGCGTTTGCAGCACTGAACAGAATTAGCATGTAACCATATCTGTTGAACTTCAATGGTACAAATAATATTACATATACATAGAGGAACATGACAATACCGATGATTATTCGATTCCATCTTCGTGTCAGCACGGCCAAGATCTTCTGCTTTACCAGTTATTTTGATCCAAGACGACCCGTGCTGAGTAATAAATAGCCGGTATGTACTAAGATCTCACGGTCCCTGCAAGAGAAGGGGAATTTGGAATCGTCTAGTCACTCTCTTCGCCTGAGTCGTGTGTGTTCTTCCAGTTTTACACAATTCTTTTCGTCCTTGAACCTTTCTTAGCATTCTTGACCGATCTTTTGTCAACCTGGTCTTGGATTCTGTTGCGCTCTGCTGCACCTTTAACCTGAAGTTCCTTTTCTTTCTCCTTGAACTCGTCGCTCTCTGGGTCCATTCCTATGAGGCTCTCTAGTAGCTTGATTTCATCTGCCCAGACTTGCTTGTCTTCAACTGTCTTTCCGTCTGGGCCCTTCTTATCGATGGGTGTCTCCAGGATCATGGGCATATTGCAAAAGTTATCGCAATTCATGACGCCGTGGAACGCGCGGAGGCCTAGAAAGCCAGTTCCGATATTCGCATGCAGGTCTCGATTGGAATTAAGGGGGGCTTTGCTATCATTCACTAGCAAAGGATATTAGTTTACTACGAGGCGGGAAACGTAAGATGGTTTATCTTGCGTAAAATGTTTTCGGCGGTATTGAAGGGTAGGCAATACTTACAGTGGAACGCCTTGAGGTATCTATATCCAACAGTCTTGTCGAATGCCTCCATGGTCTTTTTAAATGCATCTGGGGTCCGCAGGTCGTACCCAGCTGCGAATGCATGGCAGGTATCTATGCAGACGCCTACTCGATCCTTCTGGTCTACCAACGCAATAATGTCCCTCAAGTCTTCCCAGGTTGAGCCAATCACATTGCCCGCACCGGCCATATTCTCTAGGACTGTAATCACTGATTGAGTCGCCTTGTGTGAACGGTTCAATTGTGCAGCAATCCGGCCAATTGCCGCTGGTCGGGCCTCTCCTCCAGTTGAGCCTGGATGGAAATTGTACAATTTGATCCCGAGTTGTTCACATCTCTCGAGATCGTCAACGAAGCTTTTGTAGGCTTGTGCGGCCTTGGACTCGTCCGCTTGCGCCAGATTGACGAGATACGACCCATGGGGTAGGGCATGCTCTGCGGTGCTGTAATTGTGCTCTTTGCAGTTGCTAGTGAAGAGATCACGGGCCTCTGTAGGAATTGGAGGATTGTCCCATTTGCGTTGAGACTTGAGAAAGAGAGCGAATGAGTTGGCTCCAATCTGGACGGCGTTGGAAACAGCATTTTGGACCCCTATGCGAAAGGATAACGACATGTGATTAGTTCTAAACGGGGTGAATCTAGTAAATATTCCGTAGAAGACGTGAAAGGGGCTGGATTCCATCCCAATTCGTCCCAACTCTATCCACAACTCACCTCCAGCGGCACTAACATGAGCGCCTATGTACATGGCCTTGGTCAGTGAGGACATGGTTGTCCTGTCTGCCAACTTCATTGCGCTTTCTTCCGCCTTTGCGTTTGTCTTGGGCCTTTTTTGTTGCTTTTTACTCTGTGTGCTACCTTCTCTTTCGGTTACGGAGTCTAACTTTCGCTTGCCGGTGATTTTCGTTGCCACTTTCGTGACGGCGCTTTTCGACTTCTTGATGGTTTTGGGAGCCGCCCCGTCAGAGTCCTCGTTGTAGCTTACCACCTGCCGCTTCCTAGGGGATGCTCGAGGCATTTTGGTAGATACGTAGCTTGATTCAGATGGGATGTCGTCGATTGGGATGTTGTTTCGAGGTTTGACGAGAGCAGACTTCTTCGCTGACCCCATTGCCTTCACGCGACCCAACGCCGAAGTTGTCAACGCGAAGTCACGTGCGTGACACCAGCTCTGCAATTCACCCACAAACGAGTACCCGTTAACAACTAAGTGGGTTATTTAGAGCAGTCACTGTAATCTTGAGGTCAGTTTTCATGGTGTCACAAGCAAATGTAATCGTTTTTTCTTTTCTTTTTCTTTTTTCGAGAATACACTATTTTCATCGTGAGTTTACCGGGACAATTCTGCCTTGCATGTTATCGAACACCGTCTTGAAGCCTCTATTAGAGTAACCAGTAGTGATTATTGATCTAGTTACAAACAAGTTCGCCCCCAGCCAACAGAGTGTCATAGCGTTCGCAACCCTTTACGACAGAATGCGCAATTCAGGAACCGTATTCAAATTTGAGAATTTGTCCTTGTAAGCGTCATAGAGCCGTTCAACTTCTTCCACATACAATTCATGGTATTTGTCAATAACTTCTTGAGAGGGGTGCTCTTCGGTTGGCTCGTTGATCTCAATGGGCCGCCCGACCACAATGTTGACGGCCCGTCGGTAAGGCATCAAACCGACATCATAATTGAGAAGTCCACGGCCATGAAGAGCCGGGATCGTAAATTTGAATACTTTCAAAAGGATCATTTGGATCTTGTGGACCATGGGATGCGTTTTCGGACTCAGTTGATCATATAAGTCATTCTCACCGAAACCAATCACCGGCACAAGGTCTGCTCCCGATCTCAGGGCCATCTTGACAAAGCCTTTGCGCCCTTTGAGAATCAGGCGAAGCGTTCCGGGTTCGGCTTGTAGAGATTCACGAGCGCCTCCAATAACAATTGTGACCGCCCGCCCCTGCCCATCGTTGCTAGCTCCCCCTTTAGACAGGGTATTTCGAATAGATTCTTTCGAAACAGATCGAATTCCCATAGCCAAGATCCAGTCGCGGTAGAATGGAAGGCGAAAATTAGAATCAAGTGTTAGCAAACTGTTGGTAATACCAGGGAACTTCTCTGAGAATCCCAATGCGTTGGTAGCAAAGGCACACCAGGCGCCATGGGAAATGATCCCATGTGGATGATATCCAAAAATGTACTTCCTGTTGGGAGGCAAGTCAAATGTCTTATGAAGAGCGGCTGGAAAGTATCCCGCAAATAGCTTCCAAAGCGGCAACGATCGAAGCCATTCGGATCTGTAAGAAAGTTTGCCGTCCATCGCTGCGTTAGAAAACGACAGGTGAACAAGGTAAGGGACGAGGATGGGCCAGGTCAGAGGGTTCGCGCAGCTGAACCAGAAACAGGACACCAGCACGACAATAGACATAGAGTGGAAAAGGACTGCTGCTGTCTGCATACGACGTTTAAAGGGCACACGAAGGGGGGCGAAGCGAATGCCTCCAGCTCTCCAAGCCTCCCTCTCGTGAGCGTCTCGGTGCATCCCACTAAAGAGGGTAGGATAAGGCAAGTAATCCCCGTTGGTAATCTTTTTATCCTCCCCGAGCTTGTCGGTTTGAAGAGCTGCAGAGTATGACTTGCCGTTTTCCTCCGCCACAACACTGGGATTCGATGATTCAGATTGGTCAATCAGTTTGCCATCATGTGCCAGGTCCTGTCCAGCCTCGCGATTACAGGTTAGTTTAAATATTAGAAAACGATCGACGTAGAGGGGAAACCATGGGTGTTCCTTACGGTCTGGACTGTCGTGTCTGAATCTTCAAGTTCAAGTGGTGGAAAGTCCTGCTTATCATGCGGATTTGACTCCACGACAACTTTTTCGTTCGTTTGACTGCCCACTGCATCAAATATCCGTTAGTAAGCATATTATTTCTCTGTCTATCCAGTTTCTATGACATCGAGACAGCCCCAAGTCCTCTAGACTCCAGAGGCAAGCTCCCCTTCAACAGCAGCAATTGAACTGTTCGGCACGACGAGACGATGTCAAAGTTGACTTACTCCCTGATGAAAGGGTAGCCTGCAGGTTATCAACGGAAGACATTGTTTTCCCTCCCCGTCTAAATTCCAATGCAGTTCACCGGTCTTCGTAGTAGGAAGAAGAAAATCTCGCCAGCCCGTCTAGTTGCTATGCGTCTGAAATGGCGCCTTTGGCCACGGTGGACGCAGGAAGGCGGCGCAACGAAAGGGCGTCCACCCCCTCGAAAAACTGAGATAAGAGTTATCAGAGGTCGCCACCGATCGACGACTTTGGATTTGGTAGACGGTACAGATCGCTTGCCTCGTAGCTGCGGGTGGACAAATAGATTTCGGAACTTCTTACCGTGCTCATAAGCTCAGGTCTCATATGTTTAACCCAATGACGTACGAGACACAATGACTCGGCACGTGAAATATCCCAGCACAACCGCTTTCTCCATTAGGCCCACAGAAGTACCTGCACAACCCTGGACAGCCCGTCGCAGTGGCCCAACGGTTTAACGACAGGGCCACACTGCTCATTACACAACACAGCCACGAAGGCGTTCATTCACAACCAATTTGATCCGAAGCATTTGGCCAGAAAGGGGGAGGGAGGAGGCTCTGAACTACTGCGTCATAAATGAGCCAAAGTACAGTATACGAGAATCACCCTTGCCATATAAGTACAATTCCCAGACCAAAGAGTCTCCCAAACCTATAATGTAACATCCGAATGCCGCCTTTTGGTCACAATAGTTAGTCATCCCATGCCTGTTCCATAATCCGGGAAAAAATCAAAACGCTAAACTATGAGCAATTCAAGTGAGGTGCCTGTCTTACAGAACCCAGCTTGCTCATATTTTCCATCGGCCCTATTTAAGATCACATAAAGGTTGAAGAAAGATCCAGATAAGAACAAGTTGCTAACCCTCACGTAGTCGAAGCACCTTCACGAGTGTCAAGTTGTTTCCTCAGGCTAGCCACCTCCTGGTCAAGTGAAACAACCTTGTCTGAAAGAGACTTGATCTTGTCCTCTAGCAGACGGATATATTCCCAAACGCTAGGGTCGCTTTGCGCAAACATATTGCCACTATCGCCGGAAGGTTGAGCACCGCTCGGCGTCCGACCGTGAGAATATGTGCCTGAATTTGGTGCCACAAAACCTGGATGTGACAATCCTGGTAGTTTGGGCCTTGCCTGACCGCTGCTGTGTGGTGACTGCAGGTCCGATGGCGGCCTGCCAACTTGCTGCTGTTGATATTGTTGGGTCATAGTAGGGGACCGTTGTCTCGCCAAGTTCGCAGAGTCGTGACTTGGAAGCCCGGGGCTAAGAGGCTTCGGGCTCTCCGTCATACCCGCCTGTGAGTACATTCCCGAGCCTCCAGGGCCGCCGGGAATAGAGGAAACGCTAGTGTTTGCCGTATGGCTGCTCGCCATGCTGTCGGGAACACTGGTGGAGCTAATCGTGCCAGCCTGACTTAGATTCACATTCGGTGGATAGAGGCCGCTCGCTGACGGTCGAGGACCTGCTGGAGGATATGTACGAGAGTGTGCGCCATAGTTGTCACCAGACGAGTGTTGTACACCCATGCTCGGAAGACTTTGTCGTCTGAGCTCTTCGTCTTCCACACTATCATAGGCCACTCCTGACATAGTTGAGTCATCTCCTTCGCCTATGGTCCCGTCCAATTCATCACCGTCAGCAAAGCTGCCCATGCTAGCTCGTCGACCCGCACAACCTCCTGCTCCTTTGCTATGTCGTGCCAGAGCATCTCCACGCGCAAATTTCCGGTCACACTTTGGACAAATATGTGGTTTCTCTCCTGTATGGAGTTTTCCATGTCGTTTCAAATCATGAAGCCGGCGAAATCGCATTTGACACTCCGTACAGAGATATGGCTTTTCTTGGCTATGAGTCAAGAGATGGCTCTTGAGATTATGATGGCGTGTAAACTCAGTACTGCAATACGGACACTTGTGTTTTTTGCCACCAGATGATGTGGGTGAGCTCTGAATCTGGCTCGGCATTGGGAAGCTCATGCCTCGATTGAGTGGTTCAGAGAGGTTTGCGGCAGTTTGTAAAGGCCCAGGATACGACATTGAACCAGACTGTGGTCTCTCGTCTGGTGACATAAGTTGGTGACCTTGGACTTGATCATTTTTCTTGGAATCCAAGTCCATCGGGGCGGGGCTCTCAGCAACAGGGGCGGACGGTACATTGTTTGAATTCGCGTTCGCATTTGCAGGAGGACTACCTTCGTCACGATCATGGTCATCCATACGAGCAGCATTCCCGGTAGCCATGGAGAGCTCGGTCGTTGCTTTTGTTGCAGGCTCCATGTTTGCGGTCGGAGCAAGCTGAATGGTGTCAGAAGGACGGCTCATCGCTTGAGCGACACCAGACATTAGGGACTCAAGTACTGAACGAGCCGGGTCAGGGCTAATGGAAGAACTGTGAGCCTGCTCCTCGACCCTTCGTCGACGCTCGTCTTCGAGAGCCGCAGCGCCTGTGAGAGGCTCGGCAGGTCGAATGGTCGTCGCAAGAGATAGTCGGGCGACCTTGGAGGGCGAGCCAGGTGGTTTGGAAAGCTGCGCGGCACGAGATCGCGGTGACACGGACTCGGATTCGCGTTGTCGTTTAGTTAGTCTCACGATGTCGTCGGATGGGGCTGTAGTAGCAGAGACGGAATTCTGATGGCCGGGTGGCGGGCCTTCTGTTGCAAGACTGGCGACGTTTGATGCCATAGATATCCTGAATTAACGTATCTAACGAATTGAAGAAATAGGTTCGACCATGCGAGATGATGCCTACTGTTAAAATTATGGACAGTTCAGATCATCGAAGCATGTTGAGGCTGCCGTTATCCAGGTGTGGCTGAAGAACGTGGCGAGAGCTGGACCTTTTTTTGTTTTTTTTTTCGTTGTTTTTTCTTCGTCCTGATTAAGACGGTCGAGAACGACGAGCGGTGGCAAAATCGCGAAGAGTAGGAATTGCGGCCTAAAAGAAT